ACGACTCAAAAGGGCCGAATACAAGTGGACACCAAACAACATCAACAAAAAACATGCATCATCTTGCTTCCGCCTCACAATTATGCAACACTTTGTTTTGATCTGTCACATAAACTACTGGAAAAGCGCGTCGAAGTTGCTGTAATGCGACCAAATGTGGAGACACTTGTGGTACACCGACCAAATGTCACAAAGAAGGCTACAACGTAGCTTTCTCTCCTTTCTGATGAGGTCCTGCTCAGAGCGTCGGTGTGAGACACCCCGAAGGTCAGTGTCTAACTCATGGCAACGGCTGGGAGACGCTCTCATGGGAAAGCAGGCATTCTGCAGAGCCGAGCTGCACAGCGGCCTGGTTACAAAAACACTGCAAGCCCCAACATGTGGCCCATTCCAGGGGAAGAACGACAGAAATCTAGTGGAAACCCACACCCTGGAGAAAGCTGTGTGGATCATGTAGCATAACCTGTGGATAACTCATAATCAGAATGCTGCTTTACACACAGGTTCTTATAGTCAGCAACTGTTTATGTTAAAAAAATAAATAAAATTCAACTTGTAACTCTTCATACACACGAGGAAGTTACTGTGTGAACGCGTCTCACAGCACGAGGTGGTAAACAGTACTTTTGCATAGAGGCGTTAAGCAAATGTGGGACCAGATTTACTAAATACAGCAGCCAACGACTCGAATGAAATCTGCTCTGACAAGATTACAGAGCTACAATCCCCACCAAGGATGATGAATGGACCCCAAACAGATCCTGATAAATGAAACAAAACACAATGCAATTCACCTGCAGACGACGGCATCGACATGTTCATCATGTGGGCTGAATCAGATGTCAAGCACAGCAGCAATAATCCCACACTCTCCTCTGTGGTCAGGGCTCTTCATATGTCCAATAAGATCAGGTGCCCACAGGCAAAAGGTGTTTTTATTCTTTTTTTTATTAACCAGTGGTTTATGCACTTCCTGCACAGTCTGGCCAATTATTTCCCAGAGTTCCCATTGCCAAACATTGATTGCTCAAGACAAAGCAGATGACACAATGGACTCTGCAGCCTGCTCTCAGATCAGAGAGTGAGAGACGGAGCCAGCCTTGACATTTGTGAAATGGATTTCCGATTAGAAGAGTTTAATGTAATTACCCTAAGTATGCTATGGAGTCTGCACATTAGTAACGCATTGATGCATCACGTGGAGGTTTGCTTCAACACTTCAGCCTTAGATAAAGGTTCCCTGCCCTACTTACGTTTAAGAGACAACCCTCACAGTGCTACAACACCTGTAGTATTAGAAGGCTTCATTGTCTGTCACAACGAAAAAAAAAAAAAAAAAGTTTGCCTTCACATTTTATGTAATTACAACCAGAGGCTTGAGTGTATTTCATTAGCATTACATGTAATTACAAAGGCAAAGTAGTTCACAACTAAAATGACAAAAAAATAGCAGCAGGATATAAAAACATTTAAGAAATAGACACACGGACATCTTTAATCTCTGCCCATGGAGGCCCACAAACAGGTAAATGGAGTCATTGTGTGAACACTAGATAGATCACAGCATCACAGAGACAAATAAAAAGCACCAGACAGGTCAAGGAAAAGAAAACGTTTAAGGCATAATTAGGTTAATCATCAGTAAAAGAGTAAAGCACAGCTGTTACCAACTGAAAAATGGCTGCCCACATGAAGAGGCATTAGGAAAGCAGCAAAGAGGTCAATGGTAGAGATCCAAAGCTCAGGTCAGGGGTGTATGACTGCAGCTTGGAGACCTCCTGTATAATAACACTTGTTTTATGCAAACTCCCCAATGCAAAAAACTTATTACATCTCAGTTTCTAATCCTTTTTTCAGGTGATCAAACAATTGGTTTAAATCATTTCTCTACCATGTAGCTAGTTACAAATAAAAAAGGGTTTCAAGAGCAAAGTTTCTGATGTTTTTAGACATCTGAATTAAAAAACCAGTTAATGTATAAGTCCTTTCAAGTTAGGGTTTGTTCTTGTAGACTGGCCTATAACAGCAACTCCTTCAGTCACAATACATTCTGGGTCACAGGATATTTCATTACCTGAAAAAGGTCAAGTTATGATGTGTAACATTGGGTTTTATTTTGAAGGGTCGGAGCAAGGTGTCAGTGGCTTAAGCCCACCAGATGAGCTGCAGCTAACCGTCTCACTCAGATTGGAGAATCTGTCAGAACTACAATGAACCATCGACTCTAATAATATTGTAATGTTGCTCAATGAAAACCACAGCAGCCCTGGAAGCTGGGGCTCTGATCAGAAGAGATCAAAGCTAAACCTTTTAGGAGCTCATGGAAAATGCTGTTTGGCAGAAGGCTAAAACTAAACATCAGCCTGATGACATCATGCGGTAGGGACGTTATTCTGTAGCAGGATGAGGGAAGCTGCTCTGATGGGAAGATGGATGTCGCTAAATACAGGTGGAGGTTCATCTTCCAGCAATGCAGACAAATCTACAAAACACTGATTCAGATTCAAACACAAAGTCATAAATTTAATTCATTTTATAAACAGCAATACTTAAAAATAAAATAAACTATTGTTTGCAGACACAGTCTAACCAATTTCCCCTGGCCCAAAAATGTCAATCTAGAAAACAGTAAAGATGTACTCTAATGATTTTTGGTTGTTTCCAAAGAAAATCCAAACATCATAGAACTAAATGGCTGCATGGGCGTATTTCTATAGAATCCGCAGGACAAAATGACACCTCAGTTGTCTGTTTATATCCCTGCCCTTAAAACCAACATATGTAAAAATGAACACATATGCTATGGCTGCATTTTTATATAAAAACCTCTCCATGTCCAGATTCCCCTACACTAAATGGCTAAAATAACAGCTAAAATAAATCTTTTACCTCAAACAGCAAATCTGGATGTTGAAACCCACATCAAACATGTGTGTTTCACTAAAGACTGACCACAGCTGAAGGAGACATTTTCAGAGCTTACACCCACTCATAGGCTTTGCACTGCAACTGGCTGTTGATGAAAAGTTTCCAAATGGTTGAATAAATCTAATCTGATAACTAGATTTGTATTCCACCCTCATTAAAGCCTATAAAAGTCCAGACAGTGTGTAAGCAATCAATTATGCATCAAGAGATGGAGATGTTTTGATGGTTTTTTTAGGTCAAATTTGCAAAACAATGTATAGAGCCTTACAAAATGATCTATTCTACCTTTTGCCATAATGGTGGGGGTGGGGTTACAGTGTTAGAACACCACAAAGCACAGGGAATGGAAGGAAAATAAGACTTTTTTACCACATTTTTATAACTTAAACGGGTTTTTCTTCCAGGCAGGGGCGGAGAAAGATGGGGGGCCAGGGGTGTCCATCGCCACCCTTAGCCAATCAATGGCCACCCCTGTGGCCACCCCTACCATTTGTTCCCCTCTGTAGTGGAATATTCAAAATATTCAAAACATTTGAATTTTTTGTGGTTAATTAAACACATCAATATACTAACATCAAAGATGATAAATACAGAATTCATGCTCTTTTCAGAACTAGATTTTATGTTATAAGGGGTAAAGAGAAAATTATGTGTCTCTGCAAGTTATCTAGGAGTCTTCAGTGAAATCATAGATAAATAACTAATTTAATAAAAAATTATTAAATTATCAATTTATGTAGATATTAGTGCTTGTAAATATCAATGTTATGCAGAATAATTATTGATACAAGTAGGTAAGTAATGATGATGGAAAAGATTTACGCCCCAGATGAATTTTATCCACTATACGTGTTTTTTCCCTAGAAATTAGGGGGGTTTAAATATATGCTTCTATTTGTTAGCAAAGGCTGAAGGAAAGTATAGTTTGTCTTTATTTAGAAAATATGGATGTTTTGCTCATTAATTTTCCTGTTGGAACAGTGTAGATTGACCCTGAGGTTCTGGTGCCGATCCGCTTTAGCCCCCCTCTCAGGGTCATGGGCAGTTCTAGACAGGGCCCAACAGAGGCCAGTGCCCCATGTAGACAATGTCCTGGCCCCTGTTATGGCCCCTGCACTGAAGTCATAATACTCAAAGAAATTCTAATGATGATATGCACCAAAGAGACATGGTCACTGATAGGTTTACAAATTCTGTTTTGCTAATTATTTAAAAACAACAAGGTGATAGCTTCAGTGGTATTGAGAGGGGATCCCAGTTTTCATCTGCTATGTTTTTTTCAAAACAAATGAAAAAAAACCTCTAATTTTTACAGCTGAATTTATCAGTTTTTCTTGAGTTCTAATTCAGATTTTATAGAAAACGGTAATTTTCACTAAAATTAAGTCAGAAATATGTAAAATTGCCAAATGATGAATGTATATTGACCTAATAAGGCATAGAAATTTAATTAAACCTATTTTAATAGAAATCTCAATTTATGCAGATATCTTAATATATTTGAATTCCTTTCCCTGTTTTTATTCCATGCTTTTTTTCCCGTGCCCCCATGAAAACACGCCGGCCACCTCCTGGCCCCCTGGTACATTTGTTCTAGAACCGCCACTGCTCAGTGTATATTGGTTATTGTCTGGCCACCCTGACAAAGATTTCCTGGTTACGCCTCTGCTTCCAGGATGCCATGATTTCCCAAATCTTCCTCATGTATGATGCTCAACTCTTTGCCTTTAGAGAGGTGCCATTTATAATGAACTTTAATCACACAAGTCAACCCTGTTTAAGAATGACAGAGGGATAAAACCATATATGGTTATTCTTCCACTTCATAACCATTCTCCACTTTTTGTTTATTAAAGCCAATTGGGTGGAAGTTTTGCAAAGGATTGTTTATGTATTGTTAGAACAGCAGACAAACAAAGAGTCCTGTCACTGATTTTTTTCCTGCACAGGTTGGGTTTGTTTTGACAAAAGGAAACATTCCTGTTGATATAAATCCTGAGAATTTGAAATGCAAACATTGGAAAGAGAAGGCGGTGTTTGACAGGAACAATGCCTCCTATCCCACAGCCTACCTGAGCAGACTGGACAGCGGATGGGAGGACGCTCCGTGGCTGCTGCTGCTGCTACTGCCGCCGCTTCCTGCGCTCCCAGAGCCGCCTGCGGTCTGCCGTTTCCCGGATAAAAGCTTCTCCACCACGGCGAGGTTCCCGGTGCGCGCTGCGTCCACGAGCTCCTGCTCCTTCCCCATCGCTAATCCGTGGAAGAAAAAAAATCACAGGAGGCTGTGGGGAGAGAAGGGGGAGGAAATAGAGAAGGGGAGGGGGGTTGGTTGGTTGTAGGGAATGAAATTCCTCTGTGAGACTCTCTGTCTCTCTCCATACCTCAACTTATTACTCGGAGCTTCAGATGGAGCGAGGGAACCAAAGCTTCCCCCCTCCCCCGGCCGTCCTGATGGATCCTTCCGTCCCGATCCACGACTCAAGAGGGAAAAGTTTCGCTCAGCAGCACAGCACCATTATCAAGCAAACTTCCTCTGACCAGTCTTCCGAGGGTAGTCCGTCACTTCCTTGAAACTGCCCTTTCTTTCTTCATCTCCAATGAAACCCTTCAGACGCACACAAATGCAGCCCGGGCCACCGCCGCCCCTCGCTGCTTTCCAAAGAGTAAGGATGGGTTAAAGCAAGATGGCGCCCCCGCTGACTCATACAATACGGTCAGTTAGTTTGGAACGCGCCCATCCTGATGAGTTGTAGATCTGCAGTTGCAAGCCTCTCGTTGTGACAGCAACACATATCCACACCTAACAATGAGCGTTATCTGTTATAGTTATTTTAATGAGACCTTCAACAAGACTCTTTAATTTACTAAAAAATAATAATAAACAATTAAATTTAACAAAAGTTAAATGACTAACGACACGACAGCGATATCGGGAAGTAAGAAAAAACATTTGAATTGACTCGTATACAAATGAAGAGAAGATATTCAAATAACTTATTAAAAAGATAAAGCAGTCATAAACTATAGCCAATCAGAGGCAATACTTCTATGGAGGAGGTCCTCCATATACGTCCTCTTACTTTACTGAAAATGTATATATATTATTTTTTTTCTTATTTTTTTTAAGAAAGAAAATTTACCAAGAAATTACTTAATTAGAAATAAAAAAATTCAACTTAATTACTGAGTTACAAATCATATCAGACAAATACATACAAAGCTCGACATGTTTTTCTAAGAATAAAATAAATAAAAAAAATGCAGAAAAACAGCAGAATTACAAGTTAGTAATTAACATATTATTTTGTTTGTTTTTTAACATTAAACTTATAGTTAAGCCAAAAAGAGATCTAAATTTCTAAGGCTGTGGTCTTCATGCAGACCTTGTTTACAGTTTAAGATCAGAAATCCTGAGGACTGACTCTTAATATTTAGAGCCAAAGTAATTAGAACCAACATGCTAATGTGAAGGCCCTAGATATAATTTCAAATCTCACTCTGATTTTGTTTTTCTTAGCTTACATCTGACATACAGGAAATAGAGAGTAAATGAGGACATTTATTGTTACATTTAACAACCAATTAGACATTTAGATATTCTTTTTTTTTTTTTTTTTTTTTTTTTTTTTTTTTTTTTTAGAATGGGGAACAGAGCAATGGAGTTAGCTATACTTATCTAGAAAGGAAAAAACAAAACTTATATTTTCCAGACATGTGTTTATTCTTTTTTTTTGGGTCTATTTATTTTTTCTTTCTAAAATTTCAAAATGAGAATCTTTGTTTTGTGAGATGTGCATTTTATTTTCATTGTTGTGGGGTAAACGGCTGGTGCATAGGTATCTATTCTGTAAAGAGAAAATTAAATCCACAGTTTAAGGAAAATTAACAGCGACAGTGACAAAATTATGAAAATACAGAGGAAAGCCTAGAAATATATGTATTCATTGATTACGTTTTGTTTTATAATTTATTCAACTTTACCAAAGAACGATATTTTGATTAATTTTACCACATTATTAAAATTATTAATGATACATAACTGCTATTTTAATGCTATTCCTTACAATATTTTTCTTGTTTTGTAGGTATGAGCTAAGGGAAAATAATCATTTTTAGTATTTATTTATTTATTTATTATTTATGTTTAAGTTTTAGTGAATTAAAATATTCAGGGGACAATTTGTTGCACATATTTAACATCCTCATATGTTTATGTTTCTTGAATTGCTTCCTTTTTATTCTACTCTATTTCAGAATGTAGTTACTCTCCAGTCCGCATGGTGGCGGTAATGCAGTAAATAGGTAGTTTGCTAAACAGCATAACTTTACCAAAAATAATGGAGCAAGAAAACAGTTAGCGTATGGTAAATGACAATTTGTAACCCATTGTTTTTACTGTTTTTCACACTTATTGACGACGTCATCTATCGATTGTATCGATTAGGTGTGTTTTTGCATCAAAGCGGATTGATATTTTTTATATATCCAGTGTTAGCATCAGCCACACAACAGCAGCATTCGGCAGCTAATAGTTAGCTCATTGCTTAGTTCATAGCAGAACGTTAAAGTTCGTTCTAAATTAAAAGCTTCAAGTAACACGACCAGTTCTTCAGCGCTTTGCTGCCTTTCTCTCTCACGTGATTTAAAAGAACATGTTTGTGTTCAGTAACTGAACTCTGGAAGAAAGATCTGAGGGGTAATGGCGGACCCTGCACGGATAAAGACGGAGAATTCACTTGAAAAAGAGGATTTTACTAACGAGGATGATCCGAAGACGGAGCAAACAGAAAATGTTCCGGAGTCTTCAGCAGATGACACCAAAGAGCCGTCCACGCAGGATCATCCAAAAGATTTAAACGCTGTAAGTTAAAGAGTTTCTCAAACGAAGGCAATCAGAATAGTAAGGAAAATACTTCATATATTGATGTACATTTAAATGAGATATCTGGAATTAGAGAAAGGAGACATACAGTGAATAATGTAATCTCAGGATCCAGTGTTAATCATCACAAAGAACAAGAGTAAGGTTTGACAGCTCTAGTGATGAGAGGGAGTTTTTCACAGCCACTTTTGATCTGAGAATAATATAAAGTATTAAAAAAGACTGATCATATTTATAGAGTTCAGTAGGTTATTAAAAAAGAAACCTTAAGTCTTATTCTGAGGAAGCAAATCATGAAAAACAGTGTCTAACAAAACACCCCACCTAGACAAAGAAAACATAATGTTTTGCCTTTCTTTAGTAAAATTCAACTTGATAGATGCATTCAACCCAAAAATTAAGATACAAATGTTTAAAATTTCTATCGTTTAGGTATAAATCAAATTTATACCAGATGCAGTAAACCAAAGGGCTGTAAAGGAACAAAATCCCTTTTGCTGATGAAGATTCTCAGTCATCCAGGTCATAGTCATTCCGTAAAAGTTTAAAAAACAATCCACTGACTTGGTTTCCAAGATTTGAAGACGTTTCGCTTCCCCTCCAGGAAGCTTTCTCAATTCTCAATGCAGACATTTGAATCGAGAAAGCTTCCTGGAGGGGAAGCGAAACGTCTTCAAATCTTGGAAACCAAGTCCAGTGGATTGTTTTTTAAACTTTTACGGAAAATCCCATTTGACAAAAAAAGCAAAGGAAATGCTTCATGTGGACTTAAATTTGGTGTATTAATGATCTAACAAACCAGACAGATTAGGAATAAAACCAAGACATTAGAACTCAGAAATATATATATTTTTTTGTAAAGATAAATTGTTTGTTTTTTTTTTTGTTTTTTTTTATTGCATGATTGATATTGAAAGCCTGGCCCCCAAATATATTTTGGCCACTTAAATAACTAACATTTAAAAGAAGTATTTATAAATATCTTTATGTACATATCAGCAGCCTTTAAAGAAAGGACAGTTTGTTTTTTTTAGAGCTGCTGTTACTAAATTCAGTATAAATTTTGATAAATTCAAAAGATTTTCATAAAATCATGCATTTTCTTCAAGATCTTGCCCTGACAAAGCAGGTTTTAATTTAATAATGATGTGAAAAGGGTTATTTTTTCCCAAACACATCCAACTTGTTTGTATAATAAAAAAAAAACGACTCCATGATGTCCTCCAAACTGATGATGGTTGTTTTAGGTTTCAGATAATCTACTGTAGCATTTGCATTTTGCATTTGAGACAGTCCATCATATTCTTTTAAAAAGGCAAAATCAAATTTCAGCTGTTAATGGTAAATCATCCTTATGCTCCAGGATTAACTGTGGAGTACCACAGGGATCAGTGGTACGGCCAATTCTCTTTACTATATATTTTCTCCCAATTTGTAGAATTAACAAACACCATGAGATTAACTTCCACTGTTATTCTGATGACACGCTGCTGTATTTGATCCAAAATCCAGATGAAGCTAACCCATTACATACTGTAGATTGATAGTTATTGTGTGGTAGTTGCAGTTAGAACTTTGCAAAATCTACTATTTCTAATCCTTGCAACATAGACCTTCTGTAAATATGTAATACCGGTAGCTTAGACTGGATTAGGGCAGCTAAGCAGGGCACAGAGACACAGAAGGGTCATAAGGAGATACATAAACTGATAAATTGTCTGGTTTTACTAAAGGAATCCCACTGTTACTGTCTCCATCTGACATGATTTTTCTTGGACTCTAAAGGAAGGTGAAGCCACAGCAGCGGATGATGAGGAAGAGGGAACCTCTGGTCAGCCTTCCTCTAAACGTCTGAAGGTGGAGCCAGAAAAGAAGAAAGAGAAGCGCCACAAGGTCGATGAGGATGAAATACAGAAGATGCAGTAAGGCTGACATTTTACCTGGTTATATATTTAAAAAAAACTAAATGAGCCTATATTTTTACACACATCAAATAATTGTTTTTGATAATTTGTACCTTTTTTCCATCATCTGCATCTTTTAGGGTTTTGGTGTCATCCTTTTCTGAAGAGCAGCTCAATCGCTATGAGATGTACAGACGCTCTGCCTTCCCAAAGGCTGCTATTAAGAGGGTGAGCTGGTTAGAAACAGATTTATTTCCAAATGTCAAACCTGTTTCTTATGACTGCTTTGTTATCTGCTTATTTCAGCTGATCCAGTCCATAACTGGTTCATCTGTTTCCCAAAATGTGGTCATTGCCATGTCTGGTATCTCCAAGGTTTTTGTTGGGGAGATTGTTGAAGAAGGTTAGTGGATGTTTCTCTTTTTAACAAAACAAATAATCCGATCTAATACACACAACAGGTCAATCCATATATTTTCTTTGCCAATGTTTTTATTTTACAGCTTTGGATGTTTGTGAGAAGTGGGGAGATACCCCCCCACTTCAGCCTAAACACCTGAGAGAAGCAGTTAGGAGGCTGAAGAGTCGAGATCAGATTCCCAACACAAAGTGCAAGCACATCCTGTTCCACTGAGCTGATCATGCCGCAGAATGAGCAAGGACATTTGCAATGTTAAAAACTGTCTTATTGTGCGGAAAAAAACCTGCTAAGAAAGCTGTTTCCACAATGCAGTGGCTGTTCACAATCACTGACAGAGCGAGGACAGACTAGACACACTGGGAAAGCTTAAGGTGTTAGTTTTATTTTTTTTTATCATTTAAGTTTTGTACTGTAAATTGGTTTTAATTTCTTTAATAAATGTTTGGCTGTTAGATTAGACCCTGATATATGGGTTTGAAACTTGTTCATTTTGTTACAAGCTAAAAGGTATATTAAGTTCCATTTAATTAGATATCAAGTATAAATAAAATATGTGAGGACATCTTTAGGTTTCCACAGATTTTTGTTTTTCTGTCGGATTGGATCCAACGCTGGACTTTGACTTTTCCACTATAATGCCTGAACATGCTGGATCTCCGGTCCTTTGTGGCCTTGGTTCAAGCCACCCCATAGCATGATACTGTCACCACCTTTCATCCTGTGTTCAGAGTGGAATTTTAGTAGAATTTTTCTTTTATATATGACCATAGACTAAAGTTTGTCATGGGCAGATTTGTTGAGCATTGGACTACCTAATTTTTTTTCATATGGTTGAATGAAATAAAATAAAAGACCCAACAAAAATGTGTTCAGCAATTTATTAAGTCTTAAATTCTTGTCAACATTCTCTCTTTGGTTCACAGAACCAGTTATATATTAGTCTCAATAGAGTGAATACCATACAAAAACCATTAGCACCACTAAAAACATATCCACAATGACTCGTATGCATTCATTTTGGAAGTGATTCACATCAAGACAAGTGCAAAATTCAGTGGGTTAACCGCACAAGTAATTCACAAAGCATAAACGTCACAAAACTCACTTCAACACATGCGTCTCAGCTTGACAGTACATCCTGTAATCAGTCTCCCTCTGTTTGCATCTCTTGCATGGAAATTTAAATCAAAACTCTTTCATTAAATTAAAACAGATGCTACTAACCATCAAGGTCGGAGCAGAAGTGGGAACTTCAGAGCTACATGTTGCATCCAGCATGGAACGTCTCTGTCCATTAAGGCCATGCAGAAACTAAAACACTAAAAGCTAGTAAAAGATCACATGTATTGAGGTAAATAAGTAGTACATATGCTTTAGTACAACAACTTTTGAAGTAGTTTTGAGTCTGCATGCAGAGTGTAGAATACAAGATTATGACACATAGGTAGTTATTTCAGACATGTTACACCTTAGAAAATACTTAGAAAATACTCAGCATGTTCTTTTTGATGGGTTTTATGAGAAACTAGTCTCTCTCTATTGCTCTGATTCACAACAGTGTTCTTTAAGCATTAATATCCGTCTGCTACTCAGATGCATCCCAAGCTAGAATAACACTGATTCATCTGTGTTCATCTATTTCAGTTACTTATCTTAAGCATATTTGATGCGTTCCTTAAATTTTGAAACTCCTGAACCATAGATGGCTTCAGAAACTCCTTACCTGAGCTACAGAGGTAAAATACCAGATTAAATTTCTCTTTTATTTCATTTGTAAATTAACTTCCTTGAGTCGAAAGAGTGGTGTGGGTACATTTCCACAGGTGGTTCTGACTTTGCTCCATTTGCATTTAATCAAACACTAAGTCAGTCCAGCTCTGTACCAGGAAGTTTTGGAGCACTCTGTTCTTTTCTCTGATGACCAGAATCTCCACCTGGATATACACCCTACTCCACACAAACCAAGGCTGATTGTTTTGCTCCTCACTTCACTGATGCAAACACTGCAAAAGGAGTCCTGACCCAGCACTGACTCCTGATACTGTACAGAGCCTGGAAATAACTTACTTTGCATTTATTGTTTTTAAAAATGATTTTATAGCTCAAAAAATGCAGATATGATAATTTTATTCTGTTGTGATATTCCAACTTCCTTAAAACTACTGTAGAATTTTGGGGATTTCATTAGCTGCAAGCTGAAATGAACATAAATAAATAATTAAAGCTAACTCACCCCATTCAATAAATCAATATAACAGAAGCTTTTAAAAACTGATGCTGAAATAAAAACAATTTTCAATGATATTCTAGTGTAATGAGATGCAACTGTAGCTTCCAATGTAATTTAGCTGAAATATTTTAAATGACATGGCTCTGCCACCAGAGGTCTCCCATGTACAGATATGCTGCTGCTACAAACTGAGTAAAAAAGAAAACATTTTTACCAAAACAAAAGCCCTGATTAAACCAAAAACTGAATAAACTGATAAAGTTGTTTTTTTTTTTATCTAACACAAACAAAACAACGGTGTTACATAAACATAGAGCAGTCACTTGGAATTTCATGCTTGTATGAGGTTTTCCACAGGGAACTAGATTGGCAACAAATCTAAGCTAAAAAGAAAAACGATTGTAGTTAATTGGAAAATCTTCACGTCATCAGTACGGCTTTTGATAATCAACAATCAATTTTGTTTTGAAAGAAAACAAAACTAAAGAATAAAAAATAAATTCAAGTAAAATTATACAAAAACCCATCCAGGTTCCATACATATATATATTATTTTTAGACCAAATGATTTAACTCTGCGTACAATGTTCTCTAAAACGAGTAAGAGAGACGGTAAGGCGTGCCATCCTAAGTGGCCGTTCACCAACAGAGGACATCGTTTCACAGTAAAAAAGAAACTCTTCAAATACAAAAAAATAAAATAACACTGAAAATAAACCAACCTGGTGACGAACCTATAAAAAAAGGGGACATTTTAGATGATTTAAACCTCCCATTAAGAAGTGGAAGTTTGGTTTCTAAATAAAAAAAGTGCATTTTTTTCCTCTACCTTTGACAAAACTTTAAACCAAAACGTCAAAAAAAAGCGACATGTCTGTCTAATTTTACACCAAACCAAAGTTAATTACAGTGATAAGTCCAGCAGTAAAACCATCGATAAAAAAAAGCTACATTTCCTATTGAATTAGTGGTGCTCACTAAGCATGCAGTGTGACTGGCAGTGACTGTGCAACATATCCATAACACACAATAACTAAGTGGAAAGATTTAAAGCTTGATTTTGTCGCATGCTTTGTTTTACACTGAACCCACACAATGACTTCACCAGTCCATCCTGATTTGTTTTAGATAAAAACCAGAATAAACTAGTTAAGCACAACAGTAATAAGTATCCTAATGCTTAGAAAAAGAACATTATTTTACCTAAAAGTTAACTTGATAAACCCCGGTTTTCTAGTGACGGCTACAAGGGGGGTTCGTAATGGCTTGGACTATTTGAGTCAGTTATAGGTGATATGAGGACACGGGTTTGGATTAACCTCTTGTTTTCTTGAATCCATCTTTAGAAATGATCTAAATGAGCTTCCAAATCTGATACATCCCATCAGCATTCCTCCACAGCAGCTGGGATCAGGGGGCAGAGTCTAAGTGGATCAGAGTGTAAATGTGGGGTTGTACTTCCTTACTTCCAGGAGGAGGCGCTCTCTCTCACTGAGGGCCTGTGTGAGGGCTGCCTGGGTGTCACAGAGCTGGCTCTCCAGTGTCCCTCCCTACAAAGACATCATTGTTGGATTAGTAACAGCTTATGCTCCGACTTCATGCTTAAAAGTATGCAGATTCAAATTTTACTCCTTAATAACCAGAAATCATTACTAAACAATAAGATCCCATATAAGCACATTAACTGTTTCAAATGTAGTCAAAATCAGCTTTTATATAGTAGCCTCAACATAAAGTAGTTCATAAATGACAAAGTGAAAAGAAGCTTGATAGATTTTAACAATGAAATGTATGGAATACATTTGTATTATTTCCCTTTAAAACCTTGTAAAACCACATTTTGCTTGCATTTGTTTTAGAAAAAGCACAAACTGATTTAAATGTAATGAACACTAATTTAAAGTTAATTTAAATTTGGAGTTTGGGCCATTCTAAGACACAATAATTACATTCATTTAGGCTGTGCCCCTGCAGCCATGTCTGCATTGTGGTGTCAACTGCCCCGCTTTTTAATGCATTACAGACTAACGGGATTCTGCTGTACTTTACTCCATCTTCTTTTTTCCTCCTTACCTCACTTTGCTGTTGTACAAAGTCGGTGCCATTAAACCTGTCAATGCCAGCAGCAGGAACATCTGCTGAAGAATTAGTGTCTGCACTTTCAGCTGAAATAAGAAAGAATATGTATGAGGCTTTTCTATTCATCTTTCTGAAAAGGTGTGACTTTAGATTACATCGTTAGTTCTTTCCAGGTTCCTCTTTTTTTGAAAAATCTAAATCACACATTCTGCTGGGGTTTTTTTAATCTTCACCTTTGATTCTCATGATGCCATCATCACTTCGCTGGAGCAGCATCTGCTCTATAATGAATTTGGCAGGGACAGGTTGTGGAGCAGTGGGGTAGATTCTGGGTCCATCGTCCTAATAAAAAACAAACAAAAAAACATCAATGCAGAAAGTCCTTTAATCCATTAACAGGCTGGGAATATTCAGAAAATAAAACAGTTAAATACACAAAATTGTTGAGGTATCGACATGTGGGCAAAATTGTCTGTCTTGTTTAATGAAAGAAAAAACCCACAATGGTTACAGAAATACATTGAATCTAAAACTAATGATAAATTTAAATAATCGACAAAATGAAAAATGAATTTGACAAAAATGATACAAGAAAAGACAAATAATGTTACCAAAGCGACATGTTAAAACAAGGTGCGTCCACTAATTAGCATCACGAGTGTCAACATGGACCAAAGAAAGTGAAGGAAAGAGTTGTCAGGAGATTAGAAATACAATTACAGATTAGCATATTTAAGGCTATGAGACAATCTCCGAGCACCTTGATGTTCCTGCAACTACAGTTGAACATATTCAGAAATTTTAGCTCCATCAGACTTTAGCCAACCTCTCTGGACGTAGCATTAAGGGGAAAACTAACAATCAGAGAGCCAGATATAAGTTGTAACTAAAGACCCCCGGAAAAAACATCCATAGAGATTAAAGGTGAACTTAAAGCTCATGGAAAATCAGTGTGAGATCGAACC